GCAGCGCAGCACCCGCCGCTGCCCCATTTTGCCTCTGCTACGATCATCATTTATACCTAAGGCACATATGGCACCAACAGGTATAAACTATCTGGTGTCCTTTGTCTGCAAGCAATAAGGGATTTTCTTGCATAACCTAGTCTGAAAGAATCTGCAGGTGCTTATCTTTGCTTTTTATCTGTACTTTACTCAATTGAGAAATGACTTGAAGGGCATAGGTGAGAGATACAGGGATTTAGGATACCGGAGCCTATTGCCACACGTAGCACGGCATGACCACATTATGCCACAGAATGTATGAGCGCTTTCTGTAATGTTACTATGTTTCCATCAATTATCTTTTATTCCCATCCCTCCTATACTCTTACACGTGCATGCTCCTGGTTCTGATTCAGTCTCCAGCAAAAATGCTGAATTTAGTTCTGTGGTATCTTGGTAAAACAGTATATACCACTTGTACACAATCCCAAGTCTTCCAAGGTCCCAGGCCAAAACGACTAGAACAGCATTGTCCTCTTGCTGCTACTAACTTGGGGTTTTTGTGGACTCAGAACAGGCATTAGTTTACCTTCAGTTTACCTTTTTAAGTTTTCTTCCAAATCATAAACACTAAGATATAATTCTATTTTAAGAGTAAAATCTTGAGGCTGTGGAGACCAGTTCTGCATGCTGGAGTGAATTCAGTGCCAAATGGCATGATTGTGGAATATACTGCGGATTGGCTAACCCAGCCTCAGACATGAGTACAAACAGGGGGACTAACAGCTTGTGCATGCATTGCGGGGGAGTTCCTGTAGTGACAGGTTTTTTTCTGTGAATTTTATGACAAATCATGGAACAGAAATATTTCAACAGGCTTCCCTGAATTAAATAGTCCTAGGGAAAAAATGGATTTCTGCCAATGGCAAATTTTGTTCTGACGAATGAAATTTAGCCTCTCAACCTTCTTCCAAAATAATTTAATTCCAGTAGGAGTTGAAGTTAAAGCTGAACTGCACTAACAAGAGAGAGGTTTTCAGCATTAACTCTGCATGTACCTTCCCCAGCAGTGATCTACAACTACTCAACCAGATTTATACCTTTCACATTCCAATGGATCTCCAGTTCTCAGACATGACAAGAACTATTACAACTTTCCAGGAAAGACGAGGGAAAGTTCAGTAAGAATAACTGGAATTTCACTTGTGCTTTCCTGGGCTATTTCTATCCAGTAACAAGTGAGCATAACTCCGAACAGTTCCGGCTACAGCAAAACAAAATATTCTTTCCTCCGACTAACATCACGAGGCCATACATTCAGTAAAAATATTTTCAGTGAAGATGATATATATATAATATCAACCTTGTAGAAGATGCAGTTCACAAATATAGAAGATGCGGTTCACAAAAAGCTCTCCCTAGTAAGTAGTGAGACAAGTATAAAACATTCTTAAGCTAAATTTAAGATACAAGAGACAGACAGACACAGAGAGAAATGGTGGGGGGGATGGTACCCCTCTTGTATAACTTGCCTGATCCAAATCACATTTTCAGAGCTGGAGAATGAATCTCATTATCAGGTAACTTTGTCCCAACCAGAGAGTGGGAAGATCTGTTCTGTTCTTCACTTTCACAGCAGGCATTGTGAGAACTCCTTTCTTTCAATGGGTAAACATTACTGCATATTTCCTTATCACATGCACTCACTAACAGAGTAAATTTGCATGCTCAGCCCACTCATTTACCTTCGGCAAACAAACACCTTCTTCTACATTGTACACTCTGCCTGACACGGTTCCCAGAAGTGAGACTACCAAGTGAGCAGAAGGAAATAATTTGTGACTAAATGGAAACACCCACAGGGCATGTAACTTCCTTCTCTTCATTCTCCTCCCCACACTGGGCTTAGCTATTGCCAGTGCTAGCAATGACTCTTATCTTTTGTCATTTTAAACTTATGGCCACAGGCCCATGACGTCTCAGTTTTATTTACAATTAGAGCTCTGGAAATTAACCTCAGAAAGGTGAGTGGAATTGTGTGGCTTCAGTGAGGCTTTGTGGATGTTAAGCAACTTCAGATTTTTTGAGACATCATTTGGATAAGTGACCACATTTAGCACTCATCACATCAGGCTTTGCAATTTCCATTCCAGCTGGAATTAACTTATTCTTTTATTAAATCAGAGACGGCACCTTCCATTCCAATCCTCTCTCTTCTTTGGTCTGTAACTGCTATTTTGTGTTGAACTCTCTCATGCATGTTCTCAGCCCCAAGATATTTATTAGAAAGTTTGACAAAAATCTGGTTCTCCACAGACAGCTGCAGCATGATATTAGCTGTACAGGATTCACTACTGCCCTTCCCGAAATGCCCTGTGTGCTGAGAAAGAACAGACGAAATTTCCCACAGTTACCTAGAAAGACTTGAGTGCAATTTAGCTCATTGCAGCACTAAGTAGTGAATTCCCCTGAAGTCTGAGTGCCACATGTGAATGAGTTGACCAGCACTGTGGAAACAGCAATTCAAGTGTTACTTTGCAGATTATTACAGTGAGAGCAGTAAGTTATGTGCAGATATCTGGAATTAGCTCTGCAGTGAAGACATGTTCAGTATTGTCTAAAATCTTTAGGGGTGTGTGGGAGGTCAGTTTCTGTGGTTCACGCTGGCCTTGACCCTTCTGCTAACACCCTAAGCCAGGGACCAGCTGTGATGTCTGATTTTAGTACATGGACACCTGTCATCTTTTAATCATGTTGTTTACTTGAATTAGTACCTATAGTGTACTGGTCATTTTCCAAACACCTGGAAGTTCAGCAACAGAGAAGTCAGCAAACAAGGAGCAGGTAAACTTAGAGTTTGGGGGGGGTTTGTCCTTTTTTTTTGTTTAAAGGTAAGATAGTTCCTAGGAAGAAAAGATGATAATGGCAACTGAGGCAGCACTACAAGTGACCCAAAGAGTAGGGCCAGGGAGAGAGAGATTGAAGGTAACTGGATTCAGAAACTGCAGGAAATATGTACTCCTTGTGTGTGCATGTGGGAGAAGCTGTTGTTGTATGAAATGTCACTTGGTGTAACTCATGAAAAAGAACAGCTAAGGCCTAGAGATACAGCCAGAGTTGATGGTGAAGATGAAAAGAGGATTCCAAATATGATGGAGGCTACAGAGACTATTTAGGATTTACAGACATCTGACAAACACGAGACCCTGGAAGGAAAGCCTGGTAGATGAGAAGAGTGACTCATGGGAGATGATGTTTGCAGAAGAAATGGAGGCTTAAGTGATCAATGGAAACCTTCTGGTCCATGGAGAAGGAGGGTGAAGGCATGGCAAAATAAAGAAGATTGACAGATGACTCAAAGACCAGTGCTATGGGAAAGGTTTGGGACTTCTTGACCACTGGAAGCACTCACAGAAAGGAGGTTCTTCTTGAAAGATAGACTTGGTGTTTGTAATTATAAGATTTAATATATTAGACCATCTTCCAGCTTCCACCTAGCAAACCAATCTATCTGGATACACTGCCATTCCAGACACTGGCATGCAACTGATTCCAGCCTCATCACACAAAAAGATATCAATGGTGTTGGGATCACCAGTTCCATGAAAAGAGCTGTTTGCTGAACAGACCTTCATCTTGTCTTAAAGTTCAACACCCATGTCTAGCCACCTACCAGACTTAAGACAAAAGAGCTTCTGAAGAAGTGAAATCTCAACAGCTCGAAGGATGGTACTGTTTAAGAAGAGCTATGCAAAGCACTGGAAAGCCAGCTGAATCTTGCCGAAAGACCCCCTGATGACAGTAAAATTGAGAGGCAGTGCTGTAAGGAAGCTGTCTACACAGGCCCTGATAGCTGGAAAACTTAAGATTGGCTTGATAAGAATGCTGAGTATGTAAAGAGATTGCCTAATGAGAAACATCCTATACCGCGTGGATGACATCAGCATCCCATGACAACCATATTTTACAATGTGCAACACTTCAATCTAAATGGAGAACTGTGCATATCTGGCGGAGCAAGAAAGCAAATGAGCTACAGCAACACTGATGCAAACGGCACGGAGAAGTTTCGCAACACTCTTGAAACAGGGCATAAGGGTCACCCCAGTGGCTCCACCACCTGTTATAAATCCAGATACAAACACCCTTGGCTTCTCTTTATCTTGTATAAATCTTTCTGACTGAAAAGAACTAAATTCTAAAGGGCTGCTAGGCTTACTGCTTTAAAAAGCTGCTTAACGTGGCATCCAGCATCAGCAAAGCGGCTATTGATCAGCTACCTTTCTATGCCATCAGTGAAATTCTTGCTACTAAATTTACTATCTCAGGGAATGAAAATGTGACAGCACAGCTCTCAAATGGCAATCGATCTGGCTCTAATACCATTGTGGCTGGGATCTAAGGGGGGCAGGCACTTGATCCAATACCTCTCCATAATCTTTTGGTTATGTGGTATAATGGACAGATCTGTCACAAATACAAAGATACTTAAACCATTAACCTTATATATATATAGATAGATAGATAGATAGAGAGAGCGCGAAAGAGAGAGGCAACTGAAGCTTCTTATGCATGTGTTGTGTGCGTGCATATAGATGTGTGTGTATATATATTTTTTATGTACACATATACATATAGATCTATATATAGAGATAGATATAGCTATAGATGGTTAATGGCTCTATTTTTTGTCATCAGAGAATCTCCCTACCAGTGACTGCTGCCAAGGCTCTTGCAGGACTCATGCTCATCTACTTTACTTGCCATGCAGCCGAGGATTTTTTGTCCATCAGCCGGCAGGGTTTCTGAGAAGCCAGGAGCAACAGAACGTGGCTTTGTTGTAAAGAAATTACCAGAGAAATGCAGAGAGCAGAGCACTGTCTTTGGCTGATTGTGACATTTGATACTGTCTGCAGAGAACGATTACAGACACTCTGTCCTAAAACCAGTTGTCCTCACAAAGTCACTTTGATAATTAGATGTTTTAATGATGGGTGGATGAGAAGCATGATGGCAGACTGGAAAAATTTCCAATCCGCTCCTGGTAATTAGCACTACAGGTGCATTAATGAACTTTAGTTAACACACATTAAATCTGGCCCCTTGGGGCACCTGTACACAAGCATGGCCTCCTCTGACACGCTGCAATCCCAACGCATGGAACCAGACTCAGTTAATCTCTGTGATAATCCCCAGATTAATTGAGTCTGCTGGAACGAGGCAATTACTGTGCTGCAAATTGGGGCAATTGCCCCCACCTCATGCATTGGGGCACACAGCGCCAGGTGGAGAGGCTGTGGCTGCAGTTTAGCCCACCGGCAGGTTGGGCAGCTCTTTGCTACCACCTATTCTGCAGCACGAGGGCTTTTGTGGAGGATTGGGGAGGGGGCCGCAGACTGCTTTGCCCCCTGCCTGTGGGGCTCTCTGCTCGGCAGCCTACGCCTCAGTGCACCGCCCCGGGGACAGCCTACTCCCCAGGCAGTCCTGCCTGTCTTCACAGGAAAGAGCTGGCTTTTTACGTGCTGCTCAGTGCACATTCGCTTGCTTTACAGGCGGCTGGTTCACGTCACACTTTAAGGCGCTTTAAAACCAGCAAGGGCCCCTTGAAGCACGCATCCACACGTGCCCGGCCGCGCGACTTCCGCTGGCGTTGAGGCGCACGCGCGGGGAGCGCCGAGCGCCTCGATGGGCTGGGCTGAACGGGTGGGCGAGCACCGAATCCTCGATTCCCGCCGGACGGCAAGAGGGGCGGGGCGGGGCGGGGCGGGGTGGCTGCGCGCTCCAGGCCCTCCCTGCCGCCGTACCTGTTGCAGGCGGCCCCCCCCCCCCCGCCCCGGTAACGGCCCCCGCTCTCCGGTGTCCGGGCACGCGTAGCTTTGTCCCGATCATTTCCGCCCACCCCCCCGTTAGGCCTCTTGGTGCGTTTGGGCCCCGCTGCCCACCCTCCCCTAGCGGAGCGGTCCCCTCAGGCGTGTGGCGGGTTTGGGGGCAGCGCGGGGCGGGCTCGGGTTGAGCCCGCGCTGTGTCCGCAGTGCTGCAGCGCCATGGCCTCAGCGATGGGCGACGGGCACCGCCGCTTCCTGCAGGCGCTGATGTCGCACGGGATCGTGGAGGGGTCGGAGGCGAGGAGGCTGCATAGGCGCTGCTGCGAAGTGCACAAAGGTCAGTCCTGTCGCACCAGGCGTCCGTCCCACCCCCCCCGCCCGTGCGCAGTCACCTTGGGGTGTGCGCGCGCCCCGCCTTGCCACACCACTGCCCCGGGGCTGGTTTGCTGCGGGCGGCCTGGGCGCCAGGTCACCTCGCGCGGCGCTTTGCACAGGAGGGCAGGGGCGAGCCCGAGACAGGCCAAGCGACCTGACTGTAAATGCACACACAGCAGAACCCGGCTATCTCACGTCTGTGGATGACAGGAATCCCAGGTGTTATCCTGTCGCCTGTAGGTCACAATAGGTCGGGGAGATTTGTAATCTTGAAGTGGATAGGACCAAGTGCATCTTTCTCCAAGTGACATTTCCCTTGCTCAGGACTGCAACATGAAATCTGTCCATGTCCCTGCCATGTGCATCAGCCTCACTTTATAAACAGCGGCGGTTGTAGACAGTTACGTGCCTCATAGAAAATTATATTAAAATCAAGCTAGCTGCGCAGGTGACACTGCCACCGCAGCTCGAAGGACAGCTAAAAATCCACTTCAGACCCCCCAGACCAATTATGTCGGGGACTTTTAGCAGAAGTGCTATCTTTAGAATGGTGTATTTTAAGGTTGATTTACTTTTGTAATGAACACCTTTTGTATTTTAGGAAGATTAAAGTAATTTTATACTTTCTTTTTTTGCTAAGTTTCTTTTATAGGGAAGTTGCATTGAGGTTACTCCCTTTGCATAAATACATTGCATTTTACAGAGTATTGAACAGGAACTTTGGCTGTGCGAGCTTTTTTTTTTTTTTAATTG